GAATTAGTTGTTAAATCTAAAACAGCCTCTAGGTCAGTAGCTTTTGTTCCTAAGAAACCAAATAATATAAAATTATCCTTAGTAGTCCTTACATCACTGCACCACGTCCTTTGCTAAATTTCAAATTTATTGGTCCTGTATAGTTGATACCACAGTTGAAATATGTCCTTCTTAAGTTTACTTTATATTTTGGCAAGTTATCCATTACATGACTAGAAGTATTTATTGGCTTTCTAAAACAAACTTCGCATTTTGCTGTAAAATATTTAATAAGCTTCTTTGCTCCAAGAATCTAATAATTTTTGTTTTAAAATGTAACCCAAAACTGTAAACCCTGCATGTAACTATGTAATATGATACTGTTTGTCAAAAGTTCACTCAGTCTACTAGGTAATGGAATAGTTAATGGTTGATTAGAATTATAATTTAAAGTAGCTTGTTAAATGCGACCTTCCACCCGTAACAAATCATCTTTAAAGAAAGACTGCAATGCCGCCAGTCCACTATTTTTCAAAGGCTTCTTGGAACTTAATAAATGTATATATGTTTAAAATATACTTCTTGTACCGATAATAACATTTTGTACCTATAATCATATTAAATATTTTAATACTTTTTTATGTTCTAAAGCAGTTGAGGGCGGAATTTCACTGAAAGGCTTATAACTTGGTAACGATTTTGTACCTTGAAAGTTTTAACAAATTTATTGCAATAGCATAAAATTCGAGCAATTTTTGATAAAGAAGATGTGTTATTTAGAAGAGTTCAAAATTTCATTTTCCAAACTACACCCTAAACCTCAATGGCGTTGGGTAGTTCAGAACTCTGTCAAATCGAAGGGGCTTCTTTCAACCAACTAGGGATGTGCCATCACAGTCAGTTTATTACAAACTGTTCTGAAAAACTCCTCTAGAAGCAACATCTGTCTGATTAAGTTACGCTGAAACATAATTCCAATGAAATCTCGGAAAAATCTGCAAAATTTCAGACGTCAGTTGGCGATAAAAGTTTTCCATCTACTAGAAGATCATAATAGCCATGCTTGTAACAACCTTAGAAAGCATAACACTAGGCTTTCTGGAACAGTGGCTGTATAATCACAGCCGCGTAGTTATTTCTAATACTGTTAACTTAGCTTTGCAGCTCGGAATTAGCTGCAGAGAAAAATAAAGTAGCACTCCCAAGCTTAATCTAAATTCTTAGTCTTCTTAATTCAAAACTATCTTAAATTTAAATGCATTTCAAAACGAAAGCCCTTCATTCGGCAGTCATTGTAATGTTCGTTAATCTTCGTAAAGGAAAAGATACTTCTTAGATTTATGTCAGTTAGCGAAGGCAAATACTAATTCAAATCTTTTTTAAAAGCAAAAGGTTGTAATACAAAATCTAGTACTTGATTTCTATACTTTTTTCAATATTTTTAAATTTTTAATTTCTTAATTTTCATTTTACACATTATTATCTACAAAATTTATCATCACTGAAATAAACCTAGCAATGACACAGTAGTTGTAATTGTAGAAATGTGAACAAATTTACCTATGTGAAATATTTCTTTAAACGCCAAAAATATTATTTCGAAATATTATTCTTTAATTTCGTTAAATACCTGAAACCATTTGCCCAGGTTTCAGTGTATTTTATCGTGTTTCTTAGAGATGATAAATAAAATCTTTATATTAATTACATCGTCCGAGAAAATAACTCTATTATTAAACACGGTGCTTTCGAATATATAAAAGCAGAGTTCTTGCAGAATTTCATGCATGATAATTGAGTTGGGAGAAAATGTGCCTCAAAGACATTTCACTCTTATAATAGAATTTAATTACGTGGGGAAATGAGTTTGAACTCCGCTGATGGATTTATTATCGGTGTAAAAATATCTGAGCATGTTTTTTCGGACGGATACAGAACCGTTAAAAAATTCGATTAACTTAGTCAAAAAAGGGTTTTAAAAACTTTCTACAGGCTTTGCTTTAAGAGAATATTATAATGCAGAAATGGGTAATTTTCTGCTTTTTACTGAGCTTTTATAAAGACAAATTACAACATTACACGAAATCCTCAGCAACTGGACATCAACAAATTATCTTTCTTTTTGTATAGTTTTTTATGTAAAGAATCTTCATTAATTATTTTCTCGTCTCATTCTTCCGGGACCTCGGTTCATTCAATAAGATGGAAGAAGTATATCCTTATGAGAAAAACGTTACCGAGGTTTCTATAGCTACAGAATCATTACTTAGATGTTTTTCTTAAAAAATGGAGCGAAAAAAGTACGAAATATTGTGTTAGTCTCCATGGCTACAGTAACAAAGCATTTTGATTAAAGTTAATATTTTAACTTTCGATTGAATTGCGACTTTTATTGATTACCACTCGTCCGTGCTTCCATTTTACCAAGAGTATATAGGGGGAATCTTTAAAGGGTACTTTTATCTCTTTCTATAGAATTAAAAAGTTTACAGAAGTTATTATAAACATAAATATTGAAAACAGAACCTTACACTTTTTAATCAGAATTAACATACAGAGTTATTCAAAAGAAGACTAATATCCCATCATTCTGTGTCCGCTATGTTGAATTTTTTCCAGCATTCCATCTGGTGAGGCAGTCGGTCACGAATGTCACATGACTCTGTTATCAAAATGACTACAACTACAATGGACAAGCTTTTGTTTCAATCTAACGTAAGTGCTGCAAAAAACGCAATTTGTAAGGAACATATCTGAAACATTCTTGAAGTTTTCTAAATGGTAGACTTTAAAGATAAAGGCACGTCTTTAGTGATGATCTTAGGTTTTGTTGATAGGATATGAGAATAGTTTATTCTATACTTACGGGAGGTCGTCCAGATGTCTTTTTCAAATATCATTAAATGAAAAGGTCATCTCCGCAATAATAATAGAATTTTCCAAAGCGGAATTATCAGCCATAAAAGCCGCGATTGACATAGACATTCTCTAAAATCTAAACTAATTTACCTTAAAATCTGACTCACAAGCAGTTATTTTAGCGCTTAAGAATCTCTTACTTTCCTCTCCATTGATTTCTGTCATAAATTCTCTTGCCGAAATTCCAAACTAAAAAATTCAAATTTCATGGATCAAAAGATCAGGCAAATGAATTACCAAAGAAGAAGCTCTTAATCAAGATGGTATTGAAATCAACTTTTGCCTCGCTCAAATTTCAAGTACCAATGAAAACAACTTGCTTCAACGTCTTGGCAAGATTTGTTGGATACGCTTCACAAGGAAGATGCACATATAACTTATCCCCGATGTAAGCTTCGCATCTTTGTTCTCGAATCCTTTATTAAATTACTGTATAACAAGACACGGACACTTTTCCACATATCTCTATGCAAGAAATATGGCGAATTCCGATATCTTCACATGTGGAGAACAGGAAACTCCTGATCATTACACTTTCACGTGCCCCTTAATTGAGGATATTCACGTAAAATCCCCACAAACTGATCTCTTGGCATTCTAAAGGTTTCTAATTAAAGTTAAACATCACAATCCGAAGTTTCAAATAATTATGCAACGATTCTTTTCCTGCGGCCTGTATCTTTATCAAGTGCAAGTTCTGATTTTATTTGATTTTAGTGACAACATAAATTTAGTGAACTTTTGCATTTTGTGAATATGTACAAAATGACTCCACTTGTAAACTTTATAAACTGTAATAACCTTACTGAAGTAACCCCACGGACACCTATTATTGTATTATTCATATTACAGTTCATCATAATATTGTGTTACCAGCATTTATTATAGTTATCTCATTATGTTTACCTGTATACTAATATGTTTATCTTTTATTTTTGTTACACCAAAACGGATGTTCAATTTAATTTGTGAATTTCAAGTTGTATTGAGACTATATTGTAATCTCTTTATGTCCTAAATCATTACTTTTAATAAATAATAGATGCGGGGCGTACGGTGGGATTGCACTATGTACCATATTAGATAACTCTAGATCATTTGGAAAAATTAAATTACCCATTTGCTCACCCTTTCTCTGTAAATTCTTATAAAGTTGGCATTTTTAAGAGTTAGTATTGGAAAGAACTGCCAGTTGACCCACGGTACATCGCTGGTACCTCTCGTTTTATCGTTACCTGTACGTATATAAATAGCCTATGCGTTTAGAGTTCTTGTACCAATAACAAAGAGATTTCCTGTTTAGAAGTGATTTTCTGAAAATTAAGCTGCAGCATTACCATGAATTATAATTTGCCGAATTATAAAATACAGAACAAGTTTTCACTGCATACGTGGATTTTTTTCGATGTCCGGAAACTGAAGAAATGAGCAATGCCCTCGCCGGGATTCGAACCTGGATCTCTCGAATTCTCGCCGAGAACCAGTATACCACGAAGGAAGCAGATAGAAGGTAGTAAATACCTTATACAGGGGGTCTAATATACTTCGAAATGGTTTCGTGTAAGATGCACATGGCCGGTGTCTCCCATTTTTTTCTTTTCCAAGTCTGTTCCGAACTTGGCTGGCAAACTGTCGTCTGTCTAATTGCAGGGCTTCCGAACTTGTCTGACACACTGCCGTGTCAGCTGTAGTGTAACTGAAAATGTAGGACTAACTTCTTATAGGAAGGATTTCTTTCATAGAGTATATTCTAAAAGAAACTGAATCATACTTATATTCGAGCATGATTGGAAACTATGAAACCCTCATACAGATAGTCCATTAGCTAGAATTGGAGAATTTGGTAGCATTGTTATTTCTCAATCCTCTTAATCAGTAGTAAGATCAAGTGAAATAACAAAGATACAAAAAGCATAAAATCTAAAACATGAATTTTAGATTTTGGTAATTTATGCAGCATTTTCGTATATTATTATTCTCTATATGCAAAAGATGTATGTACGGAAATATTTAAATATGTCCTAAAATATATATGTGTATATGTGATAGGTTATGTTTTCAGTATTCTTTCTCTTTGTTCATTGGTGCTTTATATTTTAAAGGAAATGCCAGCAGAGAATGTCTGATGAATGCCAGTTGGTCAAGCTGGGCAAATTATCGCTCTTGCACTCCTCTGAAGATTCCAGAAGATGAATATTTGCAGGCAAGAACTGTTTTATATTGAATTATTCCCGATTGTTCTTTTTATTAATAATTTTTTATTTTAAATCTATGTAAAACTAATTCAGCTGTAGTATCAAATCCACCTCTTTTCATCAAGATGAACTCGGAATCAACTGAGTATTTTAAAAATACTCAGTTGATTCCGGGGTGAATCATCCACTGTACGAAGGTGAAAGATTTTAAGATCCAGTTGCTTCGTTTATATATGATTCCTCTACAGGACTAGAAAGTTATTTTGTTAGGATTATAGTTATCAGACTTCCAGAATTCTCAAAAGGATCGTTCTCAAAGAAGGCACTATTCACAGATCTTCAACTATAAACAAACAAGTAAACAAAATGGATTTTTGATTTAGTTCTTTTTACAATTTTAACAAAAGAAGGGTTGCTTTATTTCTTGTTACAGTTTTTTTTTCCAAACAGCATTAGCTCTTTCCTATAAAAAGAAAACGTCACTATCTTAGGTTCGTTGAATTGTTTTTCGTACGGGAATGTCCATTTTGTCTTTATTTCCTAGCAGTAAGTAAATCAAAGATAGAATGGAAAAGCACTTGGCAACTGAAATGTACATTCTGTCGAAGAAAACAGTTAAAATGAGAGAGATCCAACTTAATTTTTTTTGCTGCTTTCTTACAGCTTTAAATATTCTATCCTAATAGAGTGAAAAAATTCAACTACGGTTTTATACTGAATTTCACGAATTTATAGCGAAATTATTGATAGTGGTAGATCTTTAATTTGTCATCGAAATCCCTTTATTTAGGCCTTACGAGTTCGTTTATTAGATTTTAAGGATGAATATTGCCAGTTAGGGAAAGATTTTACGAAGGACATAGTAATGAATTTGCTCAAAGGGCCATCTTTCTAAGGAAACACATTACCTGTTGAAATTTGCAAATTTCGTCACAGATGCTATTTCTCAACTGCAAGTATGCTAGCGGAGGATCAATTATTTTTGAAGCTATTCTAGTTCTTTTGAGCAGTAAATAGATGATGTCAAACAAGGGATTTTCACTATTTTAAGCAATTATTGCCTAAATGTAAATGAAAAGCTTTTTTTATAAATCATTTCTTGGTAATTTGATCAGCATTTTACTCATTGGCTATGGCTAGCTAAGTTGCTGACATCTTTTTTTAGTCGCGATTAATTTTAGTCCTTCTTGTGATGCAAAAGTTGTTTGTATGTAAATTTTCTTGTAGAGGAAATTCAGTGAATTTTTTCTTCCTAGAAAGGAGTGTTAAGTATGAAATCCTTTAGAGTCATCAGCCATTTTTTTCAGAGATGTGAAAAGTGTAAATTTTTCTCTTTAAAACTCCTATTCCGGACCTTCTGACTGCTATCTAAACGTGCTTTCTGTTTACACCACAAAGGCGCAGAGAAAGGGATGGTGGAAGAAAACCCTTACACTTCTTATTAAAATTCGAAGTGCGTTACGGGTCATTTATGAATGTGGCAAGCTCAGTCTGCTCAGTCTTGACAAGCTTTCCTTCTCTGCACAGATAACTGAATTCGAAGACTTTAAAATATATTTCTGTTGTATTTTTAAATTATAAATATTGTCCTTCCATTGACAAACTAATAATATTTAACTAATTCCCCTTTATTTACCCAAACTGTTTTCTGATTCCTGAAATTTTTAGTTTTCATGATTTATTTTAAGATTTCTCCAATGCAAATGAACGTGAGCAAGAGATAACTTAATTTTTATGATCAGTTTTCTTATTAAAGTTAGGAACAGTAAACTTGAAAAAAATTTGGGTATTAATAATTGTTTTTGATGCTCAATTTTTGTGGAACTTAACAAGAAATCTGTTTTATATTTTTTTTTTTTTCATTTTTATGTGGTAAAACAGTATATATATCTAGATCTGTGAAAAGGTACTTTTGCTAATTTTCCTCTAATCATGGTGTGAGAGCAAAGCTGGCATTTTCCTAATGCTGAAGTAAATTTTTGAAGCATGTGCTTGTACAGAAACTCAGCAATTAATCTGGCGGTAGCATTTGTTAATTATAACATAATTTTTAGATATTTAACATTTTAATAATTTTATCTGTTTAATATTTTACTGGTCATTTATCTTCTCTTGTTAATTTAATAAATGCATTCAAATACAGAGTATGTTCTTAAATTTTTAGACGATTTCGAGGCCGTGTAATTAATTTTTAAAATGTAAAATGATTTTTTTAACGTTCGAGCTAATAGCCATTTTTTCTGGATTATAATTCTGCATCATGATTTCCATGATAGAAGGGGTTTTCGTAAAATTTCCAGGAGTACTTATTTCCATTCCTTTTCCAGTGCTTTCCACAACCCATCAACCGCGGTGGGTTTTTCGCTTAAAAAGAGCTCTTTTCAAGAGGCCAGAGGTATAATATTCAGTAGGTGAAACGCCAGGGGACTTCGCAGGAATATGTTGAAAAGGTATACATACAATACCTACATCCATCTTCATTTTTTCAAATAATACAGTGGTACTTTTCGAAGTATGACTTGTTGCTTTGTCTTGATGAAGCATTACTCTTTGAAGATCGCTGGGATACAGAAACTGAGTTTTTACTGTAAATATCGGGCGCAAAATTTTCTATTGATAGTTCGTTGAGTTGATTTTAACATTATTTTTGCTCTTCTTATTTTTAATTTCCCCTTGAAAGAGAATCATGCTACAATTATAAACCCTTCACTGAACCTTTCTTTGTTCAGATGGAACTAGATTTGTACATATTTTTCTGTTTCACGATTTCGATAATAAATAGACCTCAGTTGATTAGGTAAATCTGTGCTTCATCAAGGGTCACAATGTATTTCCATTTAACTCTTGCTTAGTTTCATTTAGTTTTTAAGTAGTTTTCATACAGGTTTCTACAAATAATTTTGCGTTAAATCATGGCTGACGAACGCTGGGAAACATTATGTTCTTTAGATATTCCATGTTGTAAATTTTGGTTTATTATTTTATTTTCTGTTGGTACAAATGTATTTAAAACTTTGCAATTGATTTCTGCATCGGCGGATTTTCTCTAGTTACTAATTATTTAACATTAGAAACATTATTAACAGCGAGACTTCTTTCCAATAACTGATGGTTTTTCCCTTTTCGATTAATAATAGTCATTATTTTGCACTTTGAAATTTTAATACTTTGCATTTCGCAGCGTTTCTGAATTATGGAATAGGAATATTTTTCTTCGGAAAGTGTCGTTCGAAAAGCGAAATCTTGTCCTTCAATCCACAGCTTGTTAACATGCCACATTTTGAAAGAAGAATATATTTGAAAGTAGCAAACGATATTTCTAATTTGAAATAATAAGCTATTGCCATATATTTTTATTCAAATCATTAGCTTTTTTAATTCCTTGTCGTTAAAAATGTATAAGCAGATTCTGTACTGTTAACTTCTTCTTTCTATTTACATGAATGCGGTGTTCAAATTTACTCTGCAGTTTTTAACGTAATAAGATGTCGAGATTTAGCTTTCTGTTAGTTATTTTATTATAAATTTTATTTTATTCAGCCTTTTTAAATATTAATTGATTTATAAATTTACAAAGCTATAAATTACAATTTACAACTTAGTCAATTTTAAAAAATTCATAAAATTTAATTATATTTTATTGATATGACTTTTTTGATCTCGTGTTTTGTGTTTTAATGATCTTATTTTTTGCAGTGTCTTAAAATTAGTATGTATTTTATTTCAATGTTTTAATCTGCTTTGAATGTCTTTCTCAATGTTTTTCGTATTTTGTTTTCAACATTTTTTAAGTAAACAACAGCAGATTTTTATTTTTGTTTGATATGACTATTTTGATGATTCGTGTCGCAAATATATTTAAATTAAAACGTCAAATTTCATTTCTTTTTTAAACATTCACAGAGTTTTAGTTTCTTTTTTAAACACTCACATTTTTAATTATCAATTCCTGTTATTTCTCACGTAATTTTAAGAACAGTACTAGTTAAAAATAATTATAAATGAAACCGTTACCTAGCTGGTTCAATGCAAGAAGAATTCTAATAATAAGAATAATTAGAGGTTATTTCATTACTACTATATGCGTATTTAACATAACATGGGATGAAATCACATTCCAGATCCCTGCGTATCAATCGCATAACTATAGGCACTCAACTTTAAATAATTGAAGTTTCGACTTCAATTCCTAGAAGATGCACAGATTAAAAATGTCCTAAAAGTGTAGACTAAATTAATTTTTTATTGAAAATGTGCCTATAAAGAAGTCCTATTCAAATAGTTTTTATTATTTAAATGACAGTCGAATAAACTAACGTAACTCAACTCGGTCGAAATATTTAGAAAATAGTAAAGAGAACAGACCGCAGAAGATCGTTAAATGTGCTAAAATTCTAAAATTTACAATAAAAATATTATGAAATATACGTATAACTTGGAATAGAGACAGTCAACATCTGACCTCAAATTTTTATTATTGCCATCTATCTCCCTTGCCTTCTTTAATGACTGATTGATCTACATTGTTCTTAATAACAGATGAAATGTGATGATAAAAAAGGGGAAGATATGTAATCATCAAGCATTCAAAAGCTCATTAATCCTCAGTCAAAACAGATCAGATCAAGAGTGAAGGGCTAGCAGCAAGAAGGGGCCCAGCTCCACTTTGGTAGATTATGTCTTTATGGGTCTTTTTTGTAAAATCGTTCTTTGCGTTGGAGTAAAAAATCATTTTTACTAGCACTTTTAATGAGGGCAAACGTTTAGAATATAAATTAAAAATGAATTTTTGAAATGTTTCTTTTAATTTTCCTAAAATTTAAAGATGTGAAGCTGGGCCCTTCTTGCTGCAAGCCCTCCTTTAAACCAGTTACGATGCGGCTTTCGAGTATAAGCAATTCAGCAGATAAATGCAAACTATCCTCCTGGATCAATCAGAACTTTGTTCGAGTCCTGCATAATTTTCTACCGTGGCACAAGGAAGCTTGTTAAATTTGTTTGGGATGATCCCGGGTAAAAAGAAAAGACTATGAAAGATATCTTGAAATTAAATTGCTTACTTAAAGCGCCTTATCGTTTCAAGTACACTTCGATATTCAAGAAACCTCGGTTTCATCAATTGAATGTTATTCAAAATCAGTTTTCTGCTTCCATAGTTTGATAAGAGTAACCTAACAGGATGGAAAAGAAAGTTCTAGGTTCAAATTCCAGTTAATGCCACTCGTCGCAGTTATGATCGGCATAGGTACATGCTTTGTAATATATTTTTATTTCAAATGTTTAAAAAAATAAATTAATTTTGATTTATTAAATTAATAAAAAATTACTTTGCAATTGATTGTAGGATTAACATAGCAATATAAATGTTTAATTATAAAAACATAGCCATTTAAGTCATCAGAAGAAAAAATTCACTGAATGTATGCTTTCAAACTAACATTGCTTACGAGCGTTAAAAAATGTAAAAGCATTATTTGGTAATTAATAACCATTCCATTAATAATCCTCAGACTGGAAAACGTCAAATGTTGGAAGAACTTTGTCAATTTAATAAACTGGGGCTTTTGCAGAGCACTTTCCAAATAAATAAATAAAAGATGAGTAAAATATGATGATTAATCACCACCATTAAATAGAGTTTCACGTTTAAAAATGAAAGTAAGTAAATAAGCTGATGATTTTTTCCTAATATGTAGAAACAAAAGTATAAAGAAACGTTGCTTTCAAGTACTATTAAACTTAAATTCTTAAAGTTTATAAATATAAACTTAAATTCTTAAATAAGTTTGTTTTAACATAGATGATTTGTATTGAATAAAGATAATCAAGCAATAATAAGAAAATTTTTAAAAAATCTGAATGCTATCAGATTTCATATTTTGCCCACAGGGGCGTTTTTCAATGTTTCGTGTTTTATCTTTATTTAATAAATATCATGTTCTTCGCCCTTAAACTACATAAAATTCCATTCAACAGCTGTACCACAAAATATTTAAAAACAGCATGTCTTTAGAATTTCCGACAGACAGTCTCGCTCACTGGAGATAATTTTTTTCCTGTACATTGTTGCCATTGCTCGCTTTGAAATCATTGAGTTTGTTAATCAGAAATTCGTTAAAAGTTTACAAAACATGAAGTAGATAATAAAACAAATTCAAAATTCGGGCTTCCAGGTGCGCACGCTCTGGTGGAGGATCTCATTATTCAAAATTCAAAATTTGATGGCTCTAGATACCGTTGTTTTTTCACAATGCGCGAAACATACCTACATTCATGCATATTCTTCATTAATTTCTTTAAATATAACACAGGACGATAATATTTTTGGCAACAATTTAAAAAGTGATTCGCCGTTTATAGTGAAATGCTACAAAATGCGTTTTGAGATTAATAATTTGGGCTAAAAATAATTCATCTATTTTATTTTTCAAATTTGTCGTTATTAGTTTTTTATAAAAACTGTAAACTCTCAACACAGTGAGTAAAATAATTTAGAATTTCTTTATGAAATATATACGACTATATAGTTTAATATAAACGACTATATAGTTTGCCAAAATTGATGCATGCTTGCCACTGTACTAATAGAACAATATCTGCTGCTAGCGGATTCGAATCTCAAAAAGAAATACATGTGTATATCTAGTTTTTCTTCAGATGAAGTCTCCCTTCGAGATTGAGAAGATTTTAAGTTATTCATATGCCATCCTGCGGGATGTCCTTGATCAAACGCTGGAAAATGTAGTTGTGCCACAGGTACCCAAGGCTTTAGGTCAACGATAGGTGCGCATATATGTTTATTCATGAGGTCATTCGAAGAGGTAAACGGTAAGATATGACAGGATATGTTGTCCACAAAATGATGAGTAGAAAATACTTCAATTGTCAGCGCTAGCGAAACACATTTTTTACGAATTGGTAATGAAACAGACGAAACCATTGCACTATGATAATCTAAAAACGTTGGAAAGCATGGTAGTTCATTACGCAAAGCAGTTTTACCGCGGAAGGTTGATCCAGTTATTTGTAATGTTACAGGTAACGCGAAACATATTTCTTTTTCTCTCGATGCAACATTTTCCAACTACCAACCTTACGAAATATTCGACGATACTAGATTTCTCGAAATATTAGGATAGAATAATGCTTATGTATGTTTGCAGAACTCTCTGCGCGTTTACTTGTAGAGAATTGTTTCTTTAAAGCAATTAAAATGATGACGCATTCCTTAGTGCTTATTTAATATAATACTTAGTATCATTGTGCCACTTTTGTAAAATGAATAATAAGTGAATTAATAATTGCAAATATTGCTGTAATAGAAAAATTTACACAAGATAAAAAGGCACATCAAATAAAGAGCCCTCACCACACAGTATCAAATTCCAGTTTTCAAAGTGCATATTCACATTCCCAGATTTGGATTCGAAATTGTATAAACATAATGAATAGTAAGAATGCAATAGTATTCACTACAATACAATGCAACCCTTTAATTAGTTTTTTTCCTTAGAAAAATAGTATGGAGAGATGATACGGGTGTTCTGTTTGGTTATATTAGGTGTCCTCCATACTTCTATCTACTTAGTTAAAACAATTATGATGGCCTGCTTATTTATTAATAACAAATCTAATATTATAATTGTGATTTGAATTAGAAGAATAAATTCATCTAAATAAGTTTATTGTTTGCAGGTACTATGGGACATGCGTGACGCTGTCACTGTTTACTATGTTGGCTATGGTTTTTCACTCATTGCGCTGATTCTTGCCTTGTGGATTTTTATATATTTCAAGTGAGTTTTAATTTGTAAAGTTAAATATTTTTGTTACTGTTACGACAATCACACTTTTTTAATGATGCATTAAATGTTCTGAATTAAACAAAATAATAATATTTTATAAGCAGACTCTAAATCTACTGCGAATTACAAATGCATTAGCATTCGTCTCTTCAAAAGATTCACGGAAACGTTGTGACACATGCGTGAAACTTGTAAGAGTTAAATTTAGTTATTAGAAGATATTAGTGTGTTTTCTACATATGAAATGATACTATTGAGTAAAGCGTGGTTCATGTTGTCATGCAAAAGGAGTTAATGCATCTTCCAAATATTCAGCTTTTTGAGCGAAACCCATTTTCGAAAAGCAACTTGGGTTTCTTTGATCAGAAATAGATCCATGTCACACCATAACCACCTTAGTTTTCATTTTTCTCACACCTCAACCTTTTTGTTCTATCTCATCAAGATAGATAGTTTAACAAAGATAGTATTTTCAAACAATTCAAGTTGTCCAAAACTATGTAAGCGCAAGTTTATAACACATTTTAATTCAGGCTATCTCCCATAAGAGTATAATGTTGTAGGTATTATCAACATTTAAACGCACTTTAGACATTCATCTAAAATACCTTTTCGTGTTATAAACATATTAGTAAGTACCCGTTTCTCTCAAATGTGAGATTCATTACTGTGTGAGCTGCATGTGACTGAGAATAGGAGAATTATAAAGTAGGGAATAAATCCAACTTTAAAGTTGTACATATAATTTGAGACTTGCCGATAAAATTAAACGAACTCAAATAATTAATAAATAATATTAAACAAAGATTTGACGAAAGTGGATCTATTATTTTATTGTTTAATTTTGCAACATAAATCAAAGTTTGCGCACGAGTGAGCAGTAAAGTAACAAAATAAATCAATAATTTTACTGTACACAAAATTTCATGTAAAAAATTATTAATAAACATTTATTAGCAGAGAGTGCGTCCAAGCCACACACATTTTTTCTGTTTGCCTTTTCTAATATAAGATGCGACTTACTTTATATGTTTTTATACTTTTGTTATTTTTGTTTACAATAATAACAAAACAACTTACGATATGTTTACTTTTGTTTACAATAACACCGACAACTTGCCGTGGAACTTACGAATGGTTACACAATAAATTCAAAGATAAAGAGTAGTGCTGTACTAACAATTTAAGAAGGCTAACTAGGCCTCCCTGCTCTCCAGCATGGTATACCGAATATGAGAGCGTGTTTCATGTACAATGTGTACAACGCTACCAACTAACCCACATACTACTTGTTAGCACTAGACATACTAGACCTCAGAAAAACACCCTGCTCAGACTGAGATGCTAAATCTAGTGAAAATTATCTTAGTGTTGGCTGGAGAGCCTAACATTTAGTTTATATACATTCTCGTGTTATTTTTTCTTTATTTAATACAATTCACTATTAGCTTAAGTTACTCTTTCATTCAAAGCACATTTTCCAAGTATGCAAGATACTTTAGGTATTTAACAATTCAAATACGTTTACATAAATAATTTCTTACTTTACTTAGCTAAAAACAAACTCAATTTAATTACATGCAACAAATTTCTAAAATTATTAAATATCGAAATTGTTTAATCAGGTTTAAAATATGCAAACATTTCCTAAATCTGTCTCTATGACTAAAGTTAACATTTCGTTCTAATTCAACCAAGATTACTTTCCATTAAATGCACAATGCTTCTTGCTTTATACATTCTTTTGCAAAAACTCGAAGCACCAAGAAAGACTTTTGCGATCGTGACGAAATTTGGTATACAAAAACATTTGATCGAACATACAAATGATCAAAGTTTCAAGGCAAATGAACAAGAATTGCGATCATAGCGCGCATTTCTAATGCGCAATTCGCAAAGTATAAAACCAGTAACAGAGGCGAAAATTTTACTTTTTTCGTTGCTGCCATTGTAATTCCGAAAATTGAATGTTGACTTTCTGTATCATAAAGGACTCTTACGATGTGTCTACCATTTTTACCCCTAAGATAAACTTCCAATGTTTGTAACAGTCCCCCCGTTGAGTTAGATTGACTTGTAAGGGCCTGATCCTTGAGCTGGGTACAGTTCGGGTTTTCAACCGATTTTTGAACATCTGCTTTCGATTCAAGTAAAGTTTGGACATATAACAGTACAATAAAATTTACTGCATATAAAGCGTTTTATTCTACTGTGATACTGTTTCGAAACATGTCCCTTCTTAATGTAGGAAAAGCAGCAACCAGCCCTCTTAGCTACGTCCCTTTTTTCATCTAGACTCATTTTTTTAGCTTTATCGCAATCTTGAGAATCGTGTTTTTTCTTACAAAAAATACACTTCTTTTCGTTATAACCATTCGTATTTTAAAGACTAGCAGTGGTTGGAATATCACATTTATTTTCGTTAAGATTCCGCTTAGATGATCTTTTGAGAAGTTCGCTTTCATTATCAAACGAACTTCTAGCAATCGCAAGTCTTTCTTCCCCTTCCACTTCTTATTTTAAAAATTCCATTCGAACAGCTAATTTGTTTACTTTCCTTTTCCCTTTTCATTAACTAAAAGAGAACTGATATGCCGTTCTCATATTTTCAAAACATCCTCTGATAAACAACTCTCGACCAGAGGATAGAGCATAGCTGCATATTTATCGGAGGTAACACCTAAGGTACCTAAGGCTCTTAAATATACAGGGGTTGGACGAAAATATGGAAACACCTTTAAAGAAACATGTTTCTTTGCTTAATATGGTGTAGGAAACCCGTTGGCATCCAAAACAGCTTGCAGTCTTCTCGGAATGGATAAATACAGTTCCTGTATGTTTGCCAAGGGAATATTATACCATTCTTCCTGCAAAACGGTGGCAAGTTCAGATAACGATGTTGGCGGTGGATAACGAGAACGCACTTTCCGTTCCAATGTAGACCACAAAGGTTCGATAATATTCAGGTCTGGTGACTGTGGTGGCCAGGGGAGATGGACAACTCATCCTCGTGCTCAGAAATCCAGTCCTGGACAATGTGAGCTGTGTGAACAGGGCTTTGTCATCTTGGAAGACACCATCACCATCGGGGAACAAAGTTTTGTACCATGGGATGAACTTGATCGGCCAAAATGTTCACATAAGTCTTGGCAGTCATGTGCCCTGACACAGTTATCATGGGACTAGCAGAGAACCACGATATGGCTGCCCAAACCATAACAGAACCCCCGCCATGTTTCAGTCTTGGCAACAAGTAGTCTGTATTGTAGGCTTGAGATGGCGTTCTCCAAACGTAAACTCGGCCAGAAGTGGGAAACAATGTGAAAGAAGACTCGTCAGACCATATTACTCGCTTCCACTGCTCTATGGTCCAGGCTTTATGACTTAAACACGACCTTTTTCTGTTACGGGCATTAGCATCACTGATGAGTGGCTTCTCAATTGCAGCACGGCCAGCAATTCCCTGTTTATGAAGCTCCCTTCTAATTGTTTTGGTACTCACAGGGTTCGGTAACACAACATTCATTTCAGCAGTAACTTTTGCAGCTGTGGTCTTCTTATTTTTCGTCACAATTGCCCCTAATGATCGTCTGTCACGATCACTCAGGACACACTTTCGTCCGCGCTGTGATTTAGCAGATGATGTTTTTTCCGCTTTTTCAAATATGCGGAATAAATCTTCGATACAGTTACCTCTTGAAACACTAAACACCTCGGCTACCTTGCTTACGGAAGCACCTACCATACGTGCTCCAACAATTGCCCACGTTCGAAGTCTGTTAACTCTGACATAATGCAATGACAACCTCACATAACAGTACTTCGACAACAACTGAACTGTTTAGCACATTTACGAAGTTGTATAGGTGGCGTCAGTAGTCAAAAACACCAGCACCACTTACATATTTCATTAAAATCAATCTTTCTTTTCAAACATGCATTTCACAAGGTGTTTCCATATTTTTGTCCATCCACTGTACTTCGATCTCATCATAAAGCTTCGCTAAATTACATTTATTATGGCTCAATACTAGAGTCAAAAATTCACGCACATACTCTTCTGTTAGTAATTCGTCTTTACTGAAACGCGACTTCATACATTCTATCACCAACGGATAATTATCTAACGTAGGTGGTAAACTTTCCACAAGGTCACGAGCGCGCGACTTCTGCGTGGTGCTTTGAATGAGATATATAAACTTCTCTTCATTCGATAAACATGGGTCATCATGAATCTTCTTAAACAAACTCTAAAACCCAAGCCACCCTTTAATTGAACCATCATATTTTTGTAACTCGATTTTAGGTAATTTAACACTTCTTTTATTTACCACTTCAACAGAAGAATCATTACTAGATACGTTATATACACAGTTCATTTCGAAATCGTGCCACTTTCGTTTTCAAAGATATGTATGTGTCAGAATAAGAATTTAGCCTTTCATATTCTTGATCAAACATATTTTAATCCGTGTTCGGATATTTTGATACAAGATCTAAAATATCTCGATCAATAGTTTCTAATTTTGTAAGCCAATCGCTTAATAGCGAAAACGCTACATCAATTTCTTCTGAATCTATCGGTTTAGCTTTTATAGCTTCATCTAGCCTATTAGCGACTTTGGTAAAATTTGTTCTGAGTGGTGTTCTTACTTTTAATAATGCATCCATTATTATCTATTTCTTTTCATTAAAAAACAGCCTTTTACTAAAAAACCAGCGTCTCTGTTCGAGCGCTAAGATTTTACGAGCTATCTAAATTCTAATTAAACAATTGAAACAAATGAAATAATCTTAAATCTTTTTACCTTGTCTCTTTGCTTGTAAATAGATGTTGACGCTGAGAAGACCTTTCTTAAATCCAAAAAGCTACTAAAAATTTACAGACGTCATTTATTAATCATTTTAACACACACTCAGAGTCAATAAAGGAGACACTTAACGAAAAAACAACATAGAAATAAATCAAAAAGAAGTTAGAGTCATCAAAGTTTCTGGGCAT